TAATCACTTAATCACTCAACTTCCCGTTAGTTGTTGATTTGCTCGAGCGGGCGCCAGTAACGTCTCCGTTTGTCCCTGTCGCGTGCTAGTGTAGCCCAATGGCATCTGTTCGCTCCGGGAACATGAAGAGCCTCAAACCGATCGTTCATGATCTTGACGAAGAAGTCTGACCATCTGGTAGGTGAGCGGCCACGCGGTCTTTTGACATCCCGTGGAATCCAGTCGGTAACAGCTCTAGTCCAGCGGTCATCTTTAAATCTCATTACGTGACCAGCCCATCTGATTTTTGACACCTTGGCAAATGAGACAGCGTCCCTGATTCTTGATCGTCCACGGATGTCAGAACTCCGGATTCTTTCTCTCATTTGAGTGAAACGTGATATTCCAAGCATAGCTCTTTCAATTCTTCTTTGGGAGACCTGAATGGCGTTCTCATCTTGTTTGCGTAGGGCCCAGGTCTCTGAGGCATATGTTAATGCAGGAAGAACAGTGGAATCAAAGAGATGTGCCCGGAGCCGGAGGTTCTTCGTCCTCTTAGCTATTTCTTCGACGTTCTTGAAGGCGTTCCAAGCCGCTCTCTTCCTCCTGCGCAGCTCGGGTGCCAGGTCATTTGTCATGTTGACCTCTCGACCTAGGTACACATAGCTGTTGCATTCGGAGATGGTCGTTCCATTGAGAGCGAATGGGGCGTCAGGAACAAGGCTGTTTCTCATAAACATTGTCTTCGTAAGATTCAGCTGTAGTCCTACCTTTCCACACTCACGGTCAAAGTCGGCCAGCATTTGTGCCGCTTGGCTGATGTTTGGTGATATTAAAACAATGTCATCAGCAAAGCGGAGGTGGTGTAGTTGCCGACCATCTATCTTCACTCCCATTCCTTCCCATTCCAGTCGTCGCATGATGTTCTCGAGGGTGCACTGAAGAGTTTCGGTGAAATGGTATCACCCTGTCGCACCCCTCTCTTGACATCAACGATCACTTCTTTGTAGAATGGTGAGATCCTGGTAGTGAATCCGCAATACAGCTCACGAAGGATCCTTATGTATTGGGCTTGAATGCCCTGATTGGCTAGGGCTTCAATGACCGCTTCCATCTCAACAGAATCAAAGGCCTTCTTTAAATCAATGAACGTTAAACAGAGCGGCATCTTGAACTCTCGAGAAACCTCAATGAGCTTGGTTATCGTGTGGATATGGTCGATGGTGCTGAATCCTTTGCAGAACCCTGCTTGCTCGCATGGTTGTCCTTCATCTAGTGCTCTGCCAATCCTATTTAGGATGACTCGAGTGAACAACTTGTAGATGACAGACAATAGGCAGATCGGCCGATAGTTGCCAATGTCATGGATGTCTCCCTTCTTGAACAGTAGTACAGTCCTGCTGGTTTTCCATTGGGACGGAACCTTGCATTCAGACAGGTAATGAGTGAAGAGCCGAGCCAGTGTATTGATGAGTACTGATGGCAGGTTCTTCAGGTGTTCAGGTCTGACCTTGTCTGGGCCGGGTGCTGTTTGTTTCTTTACCGACGAAATGGCGTGTCGGATTTCGGAAGGGAGAACGTTGGGAACGACATATCCATCCTGTGGAATTTGGTATGTCGGCAAGTGGACATGGCTATCGAAGAGATTTGAGTAGAAGTCATGGATAATCTTCTCCATTGCCGTTCTGGAGGATGTGATGGATCCATTAGGACGTCAGAGGGCAGTCATCTTGGTCTTGTAGTTGGCGAAGGACAGGCGGGCGTTACGAATACTTTTCCCAGCTTCTGCCGCATCTACCAGTACTTCTGCTCTTCTCTCTTTGAGGTCTTCCTTGATCGCATCTCTGCACTGCTTTGCGAGCTCGGACCTTAGCTTGCGGTTGCCTGAGGCATGCGCCAAACCACGGTGGAGAATTAGCTCAAGAGTTTTCGAAGATAGGCGATTTTTTGTGGCTATCTCTCTCTTGGCGTTCCTTGCACATTCATGGAGGTGCTGAACCAGTCGATCATATTCCTCGTCAATGTTGTCAACAATGGCATCTTCCCATGTTGCCGCAATAGTACCAAAGAGTTCCCAGTTGGTGGTCATTCTGGGAGTTCTCTTTTTGAACTTTGCAGCCCTTTCTCCCCGCTCTGTGAAGTAGAATTTTGCACGAAGGAGACGGTGGTCCGATCCTGTTCGAAATTTTGGGACAACAGCGACATCAGTCAGGCAAAACCGTCGATTGAATATGATGTGGTCTATTTCGTTGTGGAATTGTCCACCGGGAGACTCCCATGTCCATCGTTTAGATTCTGCCTTCTGGAACTGTGAGTTACCATGAATGGTCTTGGTCGACATGATGAACTCAGACAGTCTGTCACCCTGTTCGTTCCATCTAGGCCATGGGTCCCGATGTGAAGTTCTTCATCTGATCTTCTCGGTCCTTTCTTGGCATTAAAATCACCCACAATGATCTTGTTGAAGGTGTGGTCTTCTTTATAGTACTTCTCTAGCTCCATGTAGAACTTCTCGATTTCTCTTTCATCATAATGAGATGTTGGTGCATAGACAACGAAGATAGAAACTGCAGGCAGTGAGCCACATCTATTCAAATGTAAACGTCTGATTCGGGTTGTTAGGCATTCGAATGAATCAATGCTCTTGGCCAAGTTTGTGTTGACAAGGACACCGATGCCTCCAACACCTCTTTTATCGCAGTTCCGAGGAACAATTCTTCTCCAGTGTCGAAAACGGCATGGTGAGATTCGTGCCTTCTTGTCTCGGTCAGACCAATGATGTCGTACTTGATCATTTGTGCTTGTACCCTCAGGTCCTCGATGGATGCATCTGATGCTAGCGTACGTGCATTTTTATCAGGAAGGCACAGCTGGAGTAGCTTTTTTTAACTGGGTGTCAACTTTGGGGCGTGGTTATGACTGCCAGGGCTTCTGGAGGTAGAGGGAGGTGGGGGAAGGTAGTCCATCTCAACCCCAAGAAAGCCTGGAGATTTCAGTCACAAAAACCACATACCGGTATTTCAGCAGATTATATCTCGGTGAGGTCTGTCCCAGGATGGAGTAGTCTGCCAGGGTCACAGCGGTGATTTTGGATTGTGGGAGCAAGTGGCTGCTAAGGGCCCTGCTTGGGCGGACACCAGGCTGACCTGCCCCCCCTCCCCCTTTGATCTACCCTGATCTGTTCAGCCTTGTGTAGATCCAAGATTAACTGCAGGTTTTGATCTCTTTCAAGATGTGTTCAAGAGTCTCTAAAGCAAGGCTGATAAATGATTATGTACGGCTGAGCTGGAGGGGGTTTGTGGGTGTGGCTCCCACATACCTAACCTCTGGATCCTTAATTTCTCAGGAAAGTTGGTCCCAAGTTATTGGAGTCTGGCTAGGGGCACAATGGTGATTTGGGGGTATCAGAAAGGCCCAGGGCACCATCAGGCTGCTGATGCCCTTGCCCCATGGGTCCAGGTTGACCTGCTAGCAGTGGCACAGTACCCCCTGGACCCCAGTGGTGGGCCCAGGCAGGGACCAGGACCGGGGTCAGGGCTGCTACCATTCATACCTGTGCACTCTTGGGTGGGTTGCAGCCACCAGTCCAACAGAGCCTGACCAGGGGTACATGCCCCCATCCTGGATCTGAAGACAGTTGGCACTCAGGGAAGTTTTCCTCTGTAATCTGCTACAGGTGGCATGGGCTGGTCATGGTAGTGGCATGATTTCTGGTCCCAGAGCAGGGACCTGGCTCATGGGGAAACCTGGGATGCCACAACAGTGCCAGGCACCAGGCTAGCCTTCAAAGGTGCCTCTCTAGAGAATTGGCACTTACATTCATCCCTGCGGAGTCCTGGAGGGTCTTTGAGCTGTTTAGAGATGCCCCTGTCCCCCACAGCAACCTCCACAGCTGCGCCTCTGCAATAATAATATAATAATATCACTGTATCACTGTCCTCCCACTGTTCATTGATTTTCATGAGAAGGCCCAGTAATGTGTCCATCATGAGACTTGTTGTTATTGTGTTTGGCATATCGAACACGTCGTGGGTAACTTGCCAGGCTTGCCGTGCGGGCGAGATACTCTCGGTAGCTTGCCGGGCTCTCCGAGAGGGGTGGAAGAATCGAACCAGGCTCAGCCAGGCCAGCTGCATGCAAGGCAAATGCCCTACCACTGTGCTGTCGCTCCAGCCCAATAATAATAATAATAATAATAATAATAATAATAATAATAAATAACCCTGAGAGCAGAATTCTGTGAGTGAACATGTGACGGCAGCAAATGTGTGATGCTCCCAACCCAAAGCAAGCAGACAGCTTGGGGGGCACCTCCATAAAGCCTCACCACTGTGGCCTCCTGGGCTTCTGGTGACAAGGCCCAGTGCAGTCCTCAGCCCTGAGGAATGAGCTGTCGACCTTTACTGGGGTAAGGACTCTGGTCTGAAGCGCCTGTCCTGCTGCCCTGGCGACAGGGGGCAGGGGGTCCTGCAAGGCCAGGTTCTCTGCATGCCTGGAGATGAGCTCTGGGTGAACCCGGCTCCTGAGACCCAGCTGCTTTCCTAACTGACACTCTGACACCCTCCCTACTGGGGGTCCAGTCTGCAAACAGGTTCTGTCTCAGGCCCGGGTGATAGTAGAGGGGTTAGGGTGCTGGCTGTGCCCAGAGACCCCTGCCAGGGTGGGTCTGGTGCCCCTGGCACAGAGGTCCAAGCAGTACTGGACCCTTGGCCCCTGCATCCGACCGTCTAGCCCAGTGGCTGGGAGCAGACTGGCATGCCCTCGGGACACAGCCTTATGAGACGCCCCGAGCATAGTGATGAAGCAGCATCAAGGAAAGTGAGAGGCAGGACGGGAGGCAAAGCTTGCCCGTGCTCAGTCCCCACATGGAGCCGGGAGTAAGTCCTGAGCACAGCCAGGTGTGGCCCCAAGACCGGAAATGGACAGAAGTGCAAAGGGATGGAGTTGGGGCGAGGCAGGTGGTGGGCAGGGGTGGCCCAGGCCACACTAACTCACTGCTGGGCTTCTGTCTCATCCCTCAGGTCTCCTTGGCCCCCTCGCCCCGGCCTCCGCCCCGGCTGCTGACCCCAGACCATCTCTTCTGCAGGCAGATGAGCGAGGCCAGTGTCCTGCCCAGGACCTCTCGCAGCAGTCTGGCCCCTGTGGCAGACTTTGATCACCCTCCAGAGTTCTCATCCTGCTTGGACAGCTCCGCAGCCAGGCACAAGCTGCTCGTGAAGCCACGCAACCAGCGCTCCAGCCGGATGAGGCGGCTGTCTTCGGTAACTTCTTCTCCTCCTTGGGGACATGGCTCCAAAGGCCGGGGGCCGCCCAAACCCAGCCCTGCTCTTCAGCACCACAGCTCTGATTTCCGCAGAGATCCCACCAGTGCACCGGCAGCAGGGCTGGGCCTTAGACACGCAGACCAGATGCATCTTGGCTGCATAAAGTCAGCCTTCCTTCCTTCCTTCCTTCCTTCCTTCCTTCCTTCCTTCCTTCCCTCCCTTCTTCCTTCCCTCCTCCTTTCTTTCCCTCCTTCCCCTTCCCTCCTTCTCTCCTTCCCCCTTCCCTCCTTCCTTCCCTCCCTCTTCCCTCCCTCCCTCCCTCCCTCCCACCCTCCCTCCCTCCCTCCCTCTCTCCCTCCCACAGACCCATGGGAGTGTGCCGTGCACTGCCACCCTGTTGCTCTCAGTGTCCTGACATATTGTGGCCCTGTGTGAAAAATTGGGCTCTCAGACTTCACATGTTTGCTCCTTCTCACTCCCAACAGCGGCTTCTGTGCTTATCAGGCTCTTGGCCATGTCCCTGGCCTCAGGCCTTGGCTCCTGCTCTGGAGGATCTCCTGACTGGCTCCCTGGGCCCTGGGTGTCGCTCCACAATCCTCCCCATGTCTGGAGAGGGACTAGCAGGCAGCTCAGCGGCCCATCCCCGCCTGCCTTCTTTATGGCCCTGCAGGGAGTTCACCTTAGTAGCAGGTAGCTTGCTTGGCCTTCGTGAGCCTTCTCTGAGCTGCTGAGCCCGCACGCCCCACACCTGCATTTGGCGAGTGCTGCCCAGTGGTGGGTGAATGGACACAAGAGCTAAGAACTGGGGAAAGCACTGGCAGGCGGACCGAGACCACTCCCTGCGGTGGACACAGCCCAGGGTACCTGGCAGGGAGTCAGATGCCCAGGGGGCACACTTGTCGCCTTCGGTCTGCTCTGGGGCTGTGGTTCACAGTTTCCTGAGGCAGCAGCTTCTCACGCCAAGGCTCCTGTCTGGACTCTTTAACTTGCCTTAGTGGCCCGGGCTGGGCAGTGCCCACAGCAGGCCTGTCCCATGTGTCCTGCTGACTTAATGCGAGGGTCAAGTCTTTTAAAACATTTCCACATCCAACAGCAGTTTCAGTATCAGTGATTTCCCACCATCTCTAGAACTCTGGTAATGCAGCTAAGTTTGGGACTGGAGCAATAGCACAGCAGGTAGGGCATTTGCCTGCACGTGGCCAACCCAGGTTCGATCCCCAGCATCCCATATGGTCCCCCAAGCACTGCCAGGAGTAATTCCTGAATGCAGAGCTAAGAGTATCCCCTGTGCATCGCCGGGTGTGACCCAAGAGGAAAAAAAAATAATAACCTGTTGGTTTTAGCAAGTGTTTCTATGTCTTTTCACATCTTCGCTTTAGATCCAGAAGAACAGCAGGGAGCATTCTACTTGAGAGTAGCATCCAAGGTTACCTCCCTCCCCACCCATTCCATAGCAAGCCAACGCCAGCTGGGAAATGTTAAACTAACAGCAATACAATCCTATTGCAAATACTCCCCCTGGCCGCCACATTCCCACGGGTGGGTTGGGGGCTGCGCTTCTGTGCCAGGCTGGTAGTGATTCATGAGACTCCTGGGTCCCTTCCTGGCCTGGGATGGCAGCTGTCTCTGCATAAGAATGGGAGGAGGAAGTCGGACTCAAGCAGGACTCTAGGGACCTTCAGAAGGAAAAGACCCCTGAGCAGCAAATGCTCATGGCCACGGGTGCTTCAGGAGATGAGGGGGCAGGCATAGGGGTCCTTCAGGGGCCCAGGGTCTGCAGGTGCAGTGCCTCTGGCCTCTGTCCTGCCGAGCTGCTGTCCAGCCCTTCTGTGGGCAGCTGGGAAGAGTGCACGGCTGCAGGGCTGAGCCCAGCTGAGGCACGGCCTCTCTTCCTCGTTCCTCCTAGCGGGCACAGTCCGAGTCCCTGAGCTACCTGCTGGACCCTGACGAGGAGGACTACGAGGAGAAGTCCGTGCTCCGAGCCAGCTCCCACGCCCAGGAAAGATGGTCGGGGCCTGGAGCGCTGGGCGCCTTGCTACAGGCTGAGGGGCCCCGCGCCCGGCGGGCCCGCCTGCAGCACAGTCCTGCACTGCGGGTCAGCGTCGACGATGAGGAAGGCGCCCCCGGGGATCAGCCTCCCTACAGCCCCACCACCCCAGAGCCCCCTGTTCCCCGTTCAGACCCCACAGCTCTGCAGGAAGGGAGCCAGCACCTTCCTCCTGAACCTGACACCCAGAGCCAGCCTCGGGCCCTCGGGAGCACCTTCCCCGCCGCAGGGGACACCGGGGATGCTGGGAGTCAGTCACCTCCCTGCGCCCTGGAAGGAGTCGGGATGCCCACTGGGCCTGAGGGGCTGGAGCCCAGGGTCCTGCTGGAGAGGGCCTGGAAGGCAGCTCCAGAGGCCCCCAGCCCACGCCCCACCAGGAGCTGCCTGAAGCACAGGGCTGCAGCCCCGTGTCCCCGTGCCTCCCCCATGCCCCCTGTGCCTCCAGAGGAGCCCAACCTGAATAGTGAGGCCAGCCCCCCGGGGGGCCCTGAGAGTGAGCAGGCAGAGACCACCCTGGGGACCCCCAAGACTGAGCCGTTGGAGACCCCCCAGGGGGGCCTCAAAATTGAGCTGATAGAGTTGGCCCAGGAGACCCCAAAGATTGAGCAAGTGGAGACACCCCCTGGGACTCCCAAGACTGAGCAAGTAGAGACCCCCCTAGGGACCTCAAAGATTGAGCCAGTGGAGACCCCCGAGATGACTCCTAAAACTGAGCAGATGGAGACGCCTCAGGGGACCCCCAGGACTGAGCAGGTAGAGTCAGTCCAGGAGACTCCAAACACTGAGCAAGTAGAGATGTCCCCAGGGACCCCCAAGACTGAGCATGTGGAGACCACCCAGGGGACTCCCAAGATTGAGCAGGTGGGAATCCCCCAGGGGACCCCCAGGACTGAGCCAGTGGAGACCCCCCAGGAGATGCCCAAGACTGAGCATGTGGTGACACCCTGGAGGACCCTCGAGACTGAGCTGGTGGAGACCCCCCAGGAGACACCCAAGACTGAGCAGGTGGAAACTCCCCAGGAGACACTCAAGACTGAGAATGTGGCGACCCCCTGGGAGACCCCCAAGACTGAGCAGGTGGAGACCCCCCAGGGAACCCCCAATACTGAGAAGATGGAGACCCTCCAGGAGACCCCCAAGATTGAGCAGGTGGAGACCTCCCAGGGGACCCCCAAGACTGAGCAGGTAGAGACCCCCCAGGGGACCCCCAAGATTGAGCAGATGGAGACCCTCCAGGAGACCCTCAAGACTGAGCAGGTGGGGACCCCTCGGGAGATCCCAAATACTGAGCAGGTGGAGATCCCCCGGGAGACCCCCAAGACTGAGCAGGTGGGGACCCATCGGGAGATCCCAAATACTGAGCAGGTGGAGACCCCCCGGGAGACCCCCAAGACTGAGCAGGTGGAGACCTCCTGGGTGACCCCCAAGACTGAGCAGGCAGAGACCCCCAAGACTGAACAAGTGGGGACCCCCAAAACTGAGAAGGCAGGGACCCCACAGGGAACCCCCAAGACTGAGCAGGCAGAGACCCCCGAGGGAACCCCCAAGACTGAGCAGGTGGGGACCTCCAAGACTGAGCAAGTGAGGACCCCCAAGACTGAGCAGGCAGGGACTCCCCGTGGGACCCCCAAGACTGAGCAGGCAGGGACCCCCCGTGGGACCCCCAAGACTGAGCAGGCGGGGACTCGGCCAGAGGTGGACGCGGTGCGCCTGCAGGCGCGGGGTTCCTCGGGGTCGGGGAGGCCGGGTGGGAGGGAGACCCCTGAGGTCGAGCCCCGCGCCCCCTTCCCCATCAAGCTGCGCTCGGCGTCCGTATCCCTGCGGCCCCGCGATGCGCCCCGGCGGCCTAGCAATGAGGTGAGGCCGGAGCGCTCGGGGCCTGCGCTGCCTCCAAGGGACAGCAGGTGCGCCCGGGCCTGTGGCCAGAGACAGGCGGGCAAGGGCCGCCCCCCGGAGCCCCCCGCCGCCAAGCCGCCGCTGCCCCGTAAGCCGCTGCTGCAGACCCTCACCCTGGCGGCCCAGCCCGCGCCCCCCGACCCAGGCCCCAGGAGGGAGCCCCCGCGCCGCGGATCCGGTGAGTCAGACGGGGCAGCTGGCAGGGCAGGGGCGGGGCAGGGGCAGGGGCAGCCGGCTGGGTGGGCCCGGGGTGGGTCTGGCCTTCTGCTGTGTCCACACCAGTGTATGGAAGATGAGGAAGGTCACCTCTGCTCTTGGTCCTGCTTCAGCCTGGGGCGAGGGTGTCAGGATGGGAAACTTGTAAGAGGAACAATGCTCCCCTAGTGTGGGAGGGATGGTGCTCCGGGAAGTGAGTGTTGGAACTGGGGGGTCCACAGAGGGGACAGTGTTCAATGAGCCCCTCATTCCGTCACCCGGGTGATTCCTGCACTGTCCACCCCCAGAGGTGCCGAGTTCCAGGGGCTGTGCCTACTTACTGGTGGACACTGCTGGGGCCCCGCCACTTCTTTCTTTTGGGTGCCCATAAGAATCTTCTAGAGCACGTGTTACTTACTCAAAGGGAGTGGAGATAAATGCGTTGACCTTTCTGGTTTCTGAAATGGCCACATTTTACTTTTAGGGTTTCAGTTGAAGTTGTCAAATCCAATGATTATTTGTGGTGGAGCTGAAGAATCTTTCATTGCCCGTTCCTTTTATTAGTAGAAATCAGTGTATCAGAAAATCAAACAATATAGATGAGGTGTGTATACTTGTGATGTAGTGAGCAGAAATTTTCTGAGCAGAAATCTTTCATGGAAAAAAATTAAAATTTTTTTTTTTTGGTTTAACTTGAGGATCTGTAAAGTGCAGAATGCTCTGTTCTCTTTGTGGAGGGCCTAAAAGGGAAGTTACTAAGCGATCGCCAAGTTAGTCCGAGCATGATGGAAATAGCAAGGGAGGCTGTCTTCTCTGGCCCGTAGCACAGCCCTCTTGCCAGGAGGGAAAATCTCTCAGAGACTGGTTGGGTGAGTAGGACTTAATCACAGGTATGGGGTCCAGCCGAGGAGGGCGCTGCAGGGGTGCCTTACGAGTTTCCTCTACTCGCATGAGAGTTTCCTCTACTCCCATCAGAGTCAGACTCCTGTGTGGTCAGCAGTGTAAAACCTTATGCGTTTTTTTAATATGTAAAATGACCATATAAAATAAATATGGTCTTTATTTTATTAATGACTTTATTTAGACAGCAGAGGAGAGTTGTTGGTATTCTCAAAAACACAAACGTAACTAAGTGAAATAAATTTTGGAGTGCAAGAACTCAGGGCATTTCTCTGGGCCTGGATAGAAATACTCTTATTTCTTATTCCAGAATGAAAAGAAAAGAAACCCCCCAGTATTTTGGACGGCAGCCCCCACGGAGCCAGGCAGCATGGCCTGGCTACTGCTTCCTGCCTGGGCATGAGCATCCCTGTAGACCATGGTTCGCACGTCCCGCCATTGGGCCCCGCAGCGAGAGCCTCGCCCTTCCCCAGTCCCGGGGGCCTGTGGCATGATCATTGTTATTTCTGTTGTAACCCTGATTCCAGCAGCTGAAGGCAATGGCATTTATGAATCAAACAAATAATGAAAGTTTTAATAGCAGAATTGCTTGCTTTCCAAAAAGGCCTGATTATTGTTACGTATTGTCTTGGAAGGACAAGCATTTTACCCAGCTCTTCCAAGGGGCTGCTGGGCCTGTCCATTTTCCAGGGGCACTGCCCTGAAGTGAGGCCAACACAGTGGCCCAGAGGGCACATTGTCCTGCCTGCGGGCTGCACTGCCTGACCAGCCGTGCTGCCTTCCCCTCTGCCCAGCGTCAGAGAGGTGGACCCTCAGGCACCTCGCCTGCGAGCCCAGGCCTGGGTGCAGCTCACCCACACACTCACTGGTCAGTGAAGAGGTACCCACCATGTCCCTGTGTGTATCCCTGTGTACAGGACCCGCCCCTTCTCCTGCCAGGCCTGTGTACCCCAAAGGCCAGACCGAGCTTCCCACGCAGAGGAGTGCAAGTCACAGCAAAGGAGTCAGATCCATCATGGCCAGCAGGTGGAGGTGGAGGGGCAGAAAATGTCTTATGGGAATGATCAGGGGTGATCATTCTGTCCATGTCACCTCCACTCTCCACCTGTTCTAGTCTTCTAGTCTCCCTGTTGGGGGCAGGGACAGTTGCCTTCCTCCTGAGTCACAGATAAGGGCTGCGCTCTGTGGAGGGGTGGAGGGATTCCCATCTCTCCTTGATAACGGTTGCCCTCTGCGGACAGGGGTGGGGGGATTCCGGTCTTTCCTGGACAAGGGCTGTGAACAGGGGTGGGGGGACTCCCTTCCCTCTTGGGTCCCCCCCTTTCAGAGCAGAATGGTGGGGCCGTTGACTCTCCTCCTCTCAACTCTTATCCTCAGTCAGCCCCCCCCCCCAGCCTCTTGTGCATGTGCCCCCACATACAGCCCTTCACTGGCTGCAGGGGCTCCCCTTTCTAGGGAAAATGAACCCAGAGAGAAGCTCATTTCTCCAGAGACACACACACGCAATGCCTCCAGCCCACAGCTGGTGAGATTCAGGTGAACAGAGTCCCTGCCACCTTAGGTTGGTGGTAGGATATGCTTCTCTCTTGAGTTCTCAGTGTGTTGGTTCCCAGCTTATCCATCTCTGAAGTTCCTTCCTGAGCACCTGAAGCTGCCCCTTGGGCTCTTCCAAGTTCTGCTGCCACTTCTGGGCCTCACCTACCAGGTGGCACCTTCTCCACTTGGTTGCCCATGACGGACACATGCCCAGCTGCTGCCAACCCTCTCCTTCCTTTGGCTCGACTGGTTCTCCAGCCAGCCCTTCATACAATCTGCTTTTCTGAGCGATTCTGTTCTTTGAAACACAAGACATCAAGATTGGACCACATGGGAGTCTTACTCTTAATTTTTGAGATGCTCGCATTCTGTTTCCATCATAGTTCTGCCAGCAGCCAATGGTGTTTATTGTTTATTTATGTTCTGCAGTGCTGGTCACATAATGAGCTTGACACAAGCCAAGTGTGTGCTCTACCACCAAGCTATCTGGCCAATACAAAAAGGACTCTCTTTTTTCCATATACTTTCCGGCACTTGCCACTTGTCTTTTATTAAGGAAGGCAGGGTCTGTTCCTGGCTCTTTGGTCGGGAGTGACCCCTGGCCAGGAACCTCCTGACCCTCTCCAGCCCCTACCTCTTAATGGTTCTAATGGATGTGGTTTGACTTGTTGATTTGTACTTCCCTGCCAGTTAGTGATGCTGAGAATTTTTTATATACCATTTGCCATTTGTATGCATTTTTGGAAAATTGTCACTGGCGGTCCTTAAATTCTATGCATTTTAAAATCAGATTGTTTTCTTGATACTGAGTTCCAGAAGTTCCTTATAGTTTTTTTCATGTTCTCCTGTTTTAGCTACATGGTTTTGGCTACATGGATTCTCCCACTTTGTAGTTTGTCTTTTCATTTTTTTGTTGGTCTCTTTTTTCAATGTCAAAGGTTTTTTAATTTTTTAAAAAAATTTTTGCTCGAGCGAATAGTCTCCCTTGTTCTATTTGTTGGTTTGGTTTGGGCCATACCCAGTGGTGTCAGGGTTCTGTCCTGACTCTGCACTCAGAGATCAGCTACATGCAAGGCAAGCATCCTACCCACTGTACTATCTCTTCAGCCCACTAGTCCCCTTCGTTTATGTTTACTTCATTGTCTTTGCTTTTAGTGTCAAATACAAGCCATCACTGCCAAAATAGCATAAGAGAACTTGCTGTTTCCTTCTGGGGGTTAATGGTATCTATCGTGAATGGGTGTTGGATCTTGTCAAATGTGTTCTCTGCATCTATTGGTGATCATATGTTTTTTCTTTTATTGATATGGTATATTATGTTGATTGACTTGTGAATATTAAAGGATCCTTATATCCCCGGGATAAATCCTTCTTGGTCATGGTGTATGACCTTTATGATGAGTTGTTGGATTCTATTTGCTAATATTTTGTTAATGATCTTTTCATCTGCGTTCATCAGGGATATTGGCCTGTGATTATCTTATTTTTGTGGTGTCTCTATCTGCTTTTGGTGTCAGGGTGATGTTTGTTTCATAGAAACTGCTTAAGAATGTTTCTGTTTCTTCAGTTTCCTGGATTAACTTGAAAAGGATCGGCAATAGGTCCTCTTTAAAGGTGTGAAAGAACTCAGTAGTGAATCCATATAGGCTTGGGCTTTTGTTTGGGGGGAAGACTCTTTATTTACCATTTCAGTTTCTTCAAGAATAACAGATCTGTTCAGGTGTTCTATGTCTTCTTGGTTCAGCCTTGGGACGTTATAGGAGTCCAAGAATATAACGATTTTTTCTAGTATGTCTCATTTTGTGGCATAAATATTCTCAAAGTAATCTCTGATAATCCTTTGAATCTCTGTGGTATGTGTTCTGACTCAGCTTATTAGGGTTCTCTCTCTTTCTTTGTGAGTTTTGCTAGTAGTTTACCCATATTGTTTGTTTTTTTCTCTTCAAAGAACCAGCTGTCAGTTTCATCGATCTTTGGGGATTTTTTTTTGTTCTAGTTCATTAATTTCTGCTTAAAGTTTTATTATTTCTTCTTCCAGCCAGCTATGGGCTCCTTTTGTTGGTCATCTTCTAGTTTCTTAAATTGTGCAATCAAATTACTTGTGTGGACCCTTTCTTCCTTTCCGATGAATGTTTGCAGAGCTATGAAATTTCCTCTTAACATCACTTTTGCTGTATCCCACAAGTTCTGATGTAGTGTCTGCATTTTTGTTTGTTTACATGAATCTTTCAATTTCCTCTTTGACTTCCCTCTCACCCACTGGTTGTTCAGTAACAAGCTATTTAATTTCCAGGTGTTCAAGTTGTTTCTCCATTTATGTTTGTGATTAACTTCTACTTTCAGTGCATCCTGGTCTGAGAAGATTATTGATATGATTTCTATGCTTTCTGTGGAGGTCTGCTTTGTGTCCCAGCATGTGACCTGTCTTCAGATTGCCCCATGTGCATTGGAGACCAATATGTAGTTGGTGTTTTGAGGATGAAAACCCTAAATACATCTATTCACTCCCTCTCTTCTGTTTCTTCCTTTAAAGAAAGTATTTTCTTA